AAAAAAAAAAAAAAAAAAAAAAAAAAAAGAACAACAGTAAAAAAGCTAATATTTATTGGGCTCCTACTGTATACCAAGTACTATGCTAAATGCTTTACATTCATCATCTCATTTAATATCCCCACTAATATAAAATAGATACTGTCATTTCTATTTTATGAAGAAACTGAGGCTTAGAAGCTTCAGAATACAGTAGAGAAATAGGGAGAACTGGAAGAAAATATGTATCTAACACCAAAGTTACTGCCCTTAACTCTAAAGGCAAATAGGATATTGTTTTTGTCCATAGGGATCTTACAGTATAGCTGCCTATCTACTGATAACAGATATCCAAGCTCCAAAATGAAATTGAAAAACTAGGTTAAAGGTAAACAGACTTCTTCACTGCGGAACTACTCAGAATCTTTCATTCGAAGATGGAATATAGCACACTGTACTAACCATCATTTGCCCTGACTACCTAGTTTTCACCTCTAGGTCCAACTTAGCTTAAACAAGAAATTTAGCTTTCAATTCCCCTATTTCTAAACTGGTAATAATAGTATCTATCTCATGAGGTTATTGTGAGTCTTAAGATAATAAATACGTGTAAGTTAACTAGAATCGTGCCCTGGGCATAGCTAACATTTGTTAAACACTTACTATTATTATCATTATCATCACCGTTAGCATTAACATCTTGCTTTTTCAGGAACACTGGGGTAAGAGATTGCCAGGCCTGTTATACCTACCTGTGGTAGGCTGTCTTACTTGCTCACAAGTATTCATTCCCTCCCCAATCTTGCTATGTTTTCCTGTAGAATATACCTCTTTGCCTTGTTGACCTTGGGCTTGGCCATTTGTCTTACTTTGTAGACATAATGTGTGCCATCTCTAAGTAAAATTTTAAATGTGATTTCAGAAATGACTAGATTTTTTATGTGCACATACGTGTGTGTATCTCAACTGCTTTCAGACACTAAAAATGAGGCATTGCAAAGACTGTGATTCCTGAGAGAAGGAAAATAAATGAGATAATCCTTTTGATAGCCTCAGCTTTCTGCCTAAAGCCACATATAGGCCACAGGGCAGAGAGGGGGAACTTTGGTAGAGTGAGGCTGAGGCAGCAGGAATTTATGGGGTAGAATACTGAAAAAGAGGAAGCTATCCAAGAAAGAGCTTGAGAACTGAATTCTAAACCATGCATACATAGGGTAAACTCCAAAAGGCTAGGACAAGAATAACTGGTGAGTTGTAAACAGAAAAACTTCCAGAGTTTACACAGGGCTGGATGTCATTCAAGATCTAACTCCTTAGAGAAGAGAGGCCTCTTTAACACTGAGAGCATTCAGTAGAGACCCTACTACATCTTAGTAGTAGGGCTAGCCCTAGAGTAAAATCTGTTCTAGAGCTGTCCCAATAAAACTAAAAGCAAGTCTTACAAAGCTCAAGCAAATCCACAAATAACTGCCTAAAATAACAAAGTCCAACATTTTGTAAAGAAAAAACAAAGCAATCAAGCTCTTAACAACACTACATTTACAATGTCTAGCATCTAACCAAAAATTATTTTTTAAAGTTTAGAATATTTGGTCACATTTACAAATTTAAATACCCTGAGAGATCCTATTTTCTGTAGACATATGAAGTATATCACAAATGTTTCCAAGTACTTAATCTTTATAAACCTAATAAAGAGAATGTATAAATATGGTAACTGAAGTTTTTATAAATATTGATATAATGTATACAAATTTGGTAATATTTGTATTTAACAATCACATGAATAAGTCAATTACTTAAATATACTTTTTTTTTTTTTTT